TATGTGTGTATCTATGTATGTATGTTTGTGTATTCATGTGTCTATGTATGTGTATGTACTGTATGTATGTATCTATGTATGTATGTTTGTGTATTCATGTATCTATGTATGTGTGTATCTATGTATATATGTATATACTGTTTGCATGTCTTTCACGTATGTACTGCATGTGCTTTTTGCAAGAACAAACATAAGAAATAGCATTATGGTAGAACTGTAACAAATGTAAACAATACAACAGAACATATTACTGAAAAACTGTACACAAATTATTCCTGGACTGCCACGCCTTCCTGTCTGTCTGGCCACATATTTTCATCTACATCACAGCGGATGTCTTCCCTTGAAGGCGGCGAGGAAAGTATCCTCTTGAGATGAATCCCCCTCCTCATGAGTGAAAGCTGAAATTCACCTGAGAGCCAATGTTTGATTTAGGAAAGATTTTCAGGAAAACATGAAATTAGTTTGACAGATTTAGATTTTGAGAACTAGTTCAACCTTCTTGTCTGTGATGACTCAAGCACAGAAATGAGGACTATTAGCTTCATAAGTATGTTTCATTTTGACTGATAGGACAGTCAATTTTATAGAACAGCAGAGAATTGTATGAAAGTAACTGATACATGTCCAAAAGCATTTGTATTTTGTTCATAGGAAGGGGAAACTGCTACGATGATGTGCACAAATGACTCAATGTTGTGAAGTTTGAACAAGAAGTTTTGAGAAATTTAAGTCTGCGAAATGCTCCAAAGCGTCTGAGAAAAACCGATATCATGCAAATACTTTTCTATATTATTTAAAATTATACACCCCTTTAAACAGACACAACGTTAATGATCCTTAATATCTGAAACAATACAGTTTACCTCAGGAGAGAAAATCCTTTTATCAATGCATTATTATTTATTAGCATTGTCTATGTTATAAAATGTAACATAAAAATCATATAAAAGTCTTGACTTTGGATCCGTGGTGAGAGGCATGAGGCAATTCACCCAAAGGAATCTGGGAAAATTTGTCAAAGGCCATGGCTTCAATCTCATCCCAAATGCTTTGTTGTATTTGAGAAAACCCAGCGAGACAAATGTGTTGACAATGTTTGCAATCCCTTTATTACATACACAATCTCATCTGTTTGATCAAAGAGCGCTGTGCTGTGCGTCTCTGACCTCCTCCGGCACATATTCCACTCAGGCCAAACAGGAACCCATCAGAACTCATCACTTCACAGAGAAAACACTGTGCCCTCGCGTCACTTTGAATTGTTGGGATTTCTTCAGAAACATATTTATTAAAGACGAACAGCCTGATCACATGAGATTTGTCATTTCTGTCCAGGTTTTGACCAGGTAAACTCTACAAAGGAATAACAAATAAGAAGGTCCTTTTTTCGTACCACAGTGAGAAATTTCGGGTTTGCTGAATATACATACACAAATACACATCAAGGCATAAAGCGAATATTACTTCTGTGCTCCTTATAGGCTGTCGTTGCCCAAGGACACAACAGCAGACAGCAGTGGAGTTGGTGGAGAAGGTCCTGCGGTGGGCTCGAAACCTACAACCCTCAGGTTCAATGGCCAATGCTACGCCAACTGAGCAATAAATATCATATCATAAATACTGTAAAACTTGTGTAAAATACATAACAATCAGATATACAGATGTAGTTATGCTTTAGTGTTCCCAGAGAGACATTTTTCTTCAGCCTTCGACGATTCCTTCAATGCCACCACAGCCTCTGTCAGGGCAGTGTTCTCCACATGTTCATGTTTTACGGGTGGTGGGGGAACTGCATGTTTCATGGGAATAGACCTACACTGTAAGGGAGAGACAGGCAAACTCCACCATGCCGTCTTTTCCTGTAAATATCCATAAATGATGTCCGTCACACAAGAGGAGCTCATGGTAGAGCTGCTGCTGCTCCAGGGAAGCTATTGAAGTTCTGGATCCCTCTTGAGGGAGATTTCCCTGGAATAACCCACTGGGAGGATAGAAGACCCATGACACACCGGCCGCTGGCTGACATTTTAGACTCGATTTGTGAGGATTTTTGAAAGATTTCATTAATTGTTTTCTAGACTAAACATTTTTCTACAAAACATAAGTGAAACTCTTTTATATAACTGAATGATACATGCTATGACAAGGCAAATGACGTATTTCCGGCCGCCTTGTAACTGTAGGCTTGTTACAGTTATGGAGTGGGTCAAGAGCTATATACGCAATACTACTGGAATAGAATTGTTTCTCTCAAGCACATAATGTCACGTGGTGGGGTGAGATGAATGGAGGACCCAAACGCACGATTACAAAAATATTGATTTAATAAAATAATGTCCAACGTGAAAACAAATCTCAAAAAAATACAAAGGAACCAGGAACAGAACTCAACAGGACAATACAGGTCGGAGGTTGACAATACAATGGACCAGCAACAAGAGGAGAGGAGCACAGGGGACATATAGACACAGAGAGACACAGGTGAAACACATCAGGGCGGGGCAGACCATCAAGACAAGGGAAACAGGACAGGAAGTCAAACTAAAACCAAACCACAGAGAACAATGTCAAAATAAAACCAAAGTACAAAATAACAAAATCCACACCATGACACATAAAGTGCGGAGTCCCAGGGATCTGTAATCAGACCACTCTTGTATAAAATAAAAAAAATAAAATAGAATAAATATAATATCCTATTTATGCTGATGATTCACAGTGATATCCATGTCTCTGGGACTTGAGTCTGAATGAGGCATTTTCAGTGATAGGATGAAAAAAGATTATTATAATTGGACCTAAAGGTTCTGTGTTGGACCTAAAGGACTCTGATGTGTCATCATTTACGCAGAGCAACCTATGCATTTAAATCATTCTATTATTATTTTAAAGCATTGCCAAAAAATGTGTTGATTTACTCCCCAGTGAAGAAACTGAAACACTTGCATATGCATTTGTCATATTTATTCTCTACTCGAGTTCCTCCGATATTGATCCAATGAATACAAAATCTGCAACTTGGACAAGAAAAAGAGTGGGCAGTGCTCTTGCCTCACATATTTTATGTAGTGAAATGTTTTTGGCACATTGACTTGCATGTATTTGAATGACATGTGCCATACAAACACAGATGAGGCGGAGGACGCTGATTTTTTTGTTTTGTCGCTGCAGGGAAATGGAGTCTAAATGTAAAAAGTTTGGATGTTCACTTCAAAATACATGTCAAAATATCAAACACAAAAGAATTTCAAGTTCTCAGCAGCACATGAGGAGGGGCCCTCAGAGACAGTGATTTTATGTGTGCATAAAACCATGTGGGCGACTTACCAGAGACCATCATGAGGCCGGGAGCTTCAGTCCCACTTAATTTAAACTATATTTTAACCAGGTCCGGGTCCCACTGGTAGAAGCCACACAACAAACACAGTCTGTCTGCCAAGCTCAAAATTACATCCTCAATCTCTTTTCTTTTGCTGTAAAAAGTTTTGTTTAGTAAGAAAATGCTCTTGGTACATTTAACTTTAGTATACAGGGAAATTGTAGACTATTTAAAATCCCTTCTCATTTTATTTGGGAAATTATTAATGTAAATGATTGACATGTCACTTTGGGGCTAAGCTCAAGTTCTGAGGTCAAAGAGTAAAAGACAAAGTCATAATCTTTTGTAAATACATCATTTATTTAATTTTCTAACTGTGGGGAATGTTTGCTAATAATAATAATTGCTAATATTTAACAACACTGAATAGTTAATGGTGGAAAATAACATTTTAGCAGTATTATTGAAGGAAAATGTACAGCTACTATTATAGTTAACAAAGACATTTTAGATCCCATGTCTTTTCTACTATCACATTTTAAAATTGGGCTGAAAAGTTGTTTTTTTATGGTTTTTTTATTTTTATAAAGATGCGGAAAATGTCTGGGATGTTTACAGTACTTTTTTTTAAAGTTAGATCTAAAAAATTAGGCAAATTGAAACAGTAACGTTAAAAAACTCTAGAAAAAAGGAGTTGAGTAATCCGTGTTGAACAAAAATCAACCCAGTTTTTGTTATAATAATTCTAGCTGTTCCACCATTGTCAATACATAAAACAATCTTTTCTGTCTCAATGATTGAAGAGCTGTAAAACCATGCCATCTAGTGGTACACATCCCTTTAACACCCACTGAACAGAAAATACAGGAGCAGCGTTCAAATTCAGCAAAGAGTCTTCCTTCCTTGTGCTTTAAAATGTACCTTTCATGTGGATTATCTGGTTTACAAACATGTTTTTCATGGGTATAAACCAGATGCAACCTGCAATTTGTGCCTAAGTGGTGCTCCTTCCACATGGTGTGAGAGTGTCCAGGGTTCGCTCAGTCTTGGGGATGGTGACGAGTGACCTGCCCGTCCTCTCTTTATTCACCTTTAAGGATATTTGTCATGTCTTTGTTGTTATTGCATTTCCTGTGTTCAAATTGTTTGTCTTTCTGATCTGTGAAGTCAAATCGACAATGTTGTTAAGTCTTCTGAGATTACTGCTATTGTGAGGTGGAAGTCCCCTCAAACAGAGCTAAGGAAAGCAACATTAACATGTGGAAAGAGTCAGTGGACAGACTTACTACATTTATTTGAATTACACTTTTTTGTAGAAGTAGGACAGATGGTTTCATGTGTTTTTAGTGTTTTGTTGTTGTTTTGTGTTTTATGTGTTTCATGTTGTATTGTTGTTATTACACTGTTATACTTGGACCTCTGTATGTGTTTGCATGTGTTTTTATTGTTTCAAAAATAATCAACATTGAAGAAAGGGTAGTTCCAGGAACATGTATGACTCACAAAGGTCAATAAAAAGGAGACTGAAAGGCAAGGAAGGAAAAAGAACGAGGTGTTTTTGCTGAATCCGGATGCAGGGAGGGCCACAAATGTCAAGCATTTCCAGACACTTGAAAGACACAATAATAATATAAACAATATTTTTTGCAGCCTGGATGTGGTGTTGAACAAAGGCAGTTCAGACAGTGGTGGAGGACTGTTGGATGGTGAAGGCGCGTGCCCGGGGGACATGAGAGGGCGACTGCGGCTGCAGGAGGCTCCGCACAGCCAGCCTGTAGCTGCGGGACATCAGGTTGTACAGTAAGGGGTTAATGGCCGCGCTGAGGTAGAAGAGCACTGAGGACACCAGGTTAAAATACTGCGACAGGTAATACAGGAAGTACATGTGAGGGTCTGGGTGCATCATGTGAGTAGAGTTGTGCTGTGTGGGGGCCGTGTCTGTGCTCAGATTGAACACCGCAGGGTCCCACTCAGCACCTCCCTCTCCACTCGGCTCAGAGGCAGCAGACCCAAGGGACAGAGAGAAGATGGTCCGTCCCACGTGGAAGGGGAGCCAGCACAGCACAAATGCCAGTACAATCACCCCTGCAAAAATAAAGGCACAAAGAAAACTCTTAAAGCCAAAGCTGATTGGATGACAGCAATTGATTTCCTTTTGGTGCATTGATTGTCAGACGCCTATTTATACCTGGGACAGTCCCGTGTCCTCATCACAGTGGTTCCAATCTAAAACAACAAAGTTAACTCGTACACAAATGCTTGAAAACAACATCTGAATTCATGTTAAAAGTAAAAAGGTGCGTCTAATAAAGATGTAAAATGTGAAAGTCTGTCTTAGGTACAAGACAGGGAGCTCCTTCCAGGACTTTGGTCCAATAACAATGTAAAGTGGGGCTTGAAAGATGTTTGACATAGCCCCATGTGGTACTAAATAGTATTGTATAATTGATGAACACTATATTTTAAGAGAACGTAGGTCAAACAACACAATACATGATACAAGGAACATTACAGTGTGTAATGCATGTCAAATCAATCAATCAAATTAATTTCAAATTGTATTGCATGTAATATTACTTTCATGTTTTAGTGAATTTCTTTCTATCAACATTATTTATATAGGGTCAATGCCATAATATTGAGAGAGGTACGTCTTCTAAAACATGATTTTACTTTCTACAAAGTCAGAAGCTTGATTTCATGCCGTGAGAGAACGCAAATCATGTCTTTTGTACATGTATACAGTATGTAAAGTTTGTACCATTGACCAACTATACCCCTCTAGTGTACCAGGTTTACATGTAAGTGACTGTGTAATTTTTGGCACAATGCTGTAGTATTACAAAGAGCATTTGCAGTAAATATGTGAAATAAATGCATACAGTACATACATACATGTCTTGTACTCAGTTACATTACTAAATACAGTAATGTGTAACTTTACTGTAGTTTTCAAATGGCAGTACAGTGTATAGTGCTGTGTATAGTGTTTTCAGGTAGTGTCACCAAGATGTGAGTGAATTCATTTTGAAGCAGTGACGCACTTTTGCAGGTTATCTACTAGGTTTTAGAGTTTGTACTAACTGTTCTTGGAAATGCACTAACTATTTAACAAATGTTAATAGTGATGTGGGAAATGCACCAAAGCAACTGAAAAAACTTTCATTATAAAAGTTTGATCACTATCTCGGCCAGATGGCCAAATCTGTCACGCTTACCCAGCATTTTGACTGTGCTCTTGTTGCTCTGGTCTTTGCGGTTGCTTTTTGGACGCAGCCAAAGTGTTCGTCCAATCAGGCTGTAGACTAGTCCCAGGATGCAGAAGGGAACCAGGAAGTAGAGGTTGGAGAGGATCATCATGGCTGACAGAAGCCCAGAGGAGGCTGCAAACTGTGTACAGCGACACTCACTGTTGTCCTTGTCTTCGTAAACAGGTGCATCTCTTCCACCTCCTTCATCCTCTTTCATGTTATTCTGATTTTCTGTATTCACTTTTCCTGTACGTATCTTCACACTGTTATTAGATGTTGTCTGGTCTTGTCCACTCAGGGTTATCCCATAAAAGTCATTAACTCTTCCAAACCGTTCATTAAAATGGTCTGCTGTTAATAATTCTGTTGTTGCTGTTTCCATGTCTGTCCAGAATACATCATCTCTCCTGGCCCTGAATCCACCGTCCTCTGCTTGAACCTCTTCTACGCCCACCATGACCAACACGGGTGCAGCACTGAGGGCGGCCCCCAGCCACAGACAGCCAATTACGATCTTGGTGCGCCTTCGAGTGACCAGTGTCTTAGCAGTGATTGGCCAGCAGACCGCCAGGTATCTCTCCAGCGACAGGAAGGTGATGTGGAGGATGGTGCAGAAAGTGCAGCACTCTGACAGGAACATGGTGAGCTTACACAGCAGGTCTCCCAAGGTCCAGGGCCTGGGTCTCCACAACTGCAAAACATATGTCATAAAGGCTCCATTCTTGGCATCTGTCTTACAAGCCACTGAGCCAGTGTAACCTTTTTGAAAAGATATAAGAGAAAAATTGAGTTATTAAAGCTGCAGCATCCATTTCTTTCAGACTTTAATATTGTATGATCCTATTGTTTACAGGTGACAGATGCAAGGGCAGTAGGACTAAGACAGGATACACCTAAACCTAATTTAGCACAAGCCCCCTCAGGGCAGACATCATCATATCTGATTTTATTCACTTGTCTAAGAAAAAAGCTAAAGAAATATGCAAAAGTATCATTTAAGAGTGTATTTCAGGGGGGGTCTCGGGTTCCATTTTAATTTAATGTTTAGTTTTTATTCAAAGCTGGCAGACTTGTATATTTTAATCTGTTACTTTTATCTGTGCAGCACTTTGGAAACATGTTTTATAAAAGGTGCTATATAAATAAAGTGGATTGGATTGTATTCCTGCATATGTTGGAGGTGTTGGCTGTAAGAGGAGCAACATGAGTTTACCTTGTAGAGATCGAGAGGCATCAGCAGGAGGATGAGCAGGTCGCTTACAGCCATGCTGCTCAGGTACAAGTAGGAGCAGGTTCTTATGTGCGGACGCAGACACACCACCAGGATGGTCAAGATATTACCCAGAAGGCCAAGCAGCATCAGAGGGATGTAGATTATTGTGACACACACTGTTAGAAACAAGGATCAAAATATTTTCATTTCAATCGAAAAACGTGTCAAAGGATTTTGAGCCTTTGAGTTGCTGATGAGTCAGATAAGAAAAGATAAACACAAACATCTGTGGTGTTTCTTCAACTTCATTGACAGTTCTTGAATTACTGTGAATCATTGATTCCTGAACTCACCCAGCTCGATGCGTCCAAACATAGTCTGTTCTGTGTGGCAGTCAGAGCACTCCTCCAGGAGGTCCAGAGCACAGTCCAGTCTGTCCCCACAGCCACTGCCCTGCACCACCGCATCCATCTGTTAGAGCCTACAGGTGCTGCACACTGACGCAAACACATCGATTTCCTATGTCACCCGGCCACTGTGGACAAGACAGGAGAGCAGTAATATTAATTAAAGCCGCAAGCGGCGATGAAAGGCCTCGCCCCTCTTGCGACCGCCTCCTGGGCGCCAGTCCCACAAGCGTCACGCAGACGAATTGGCAGCCCGATCTGACCAGGATTACATATATAAAAGCTCATTTATATGATAAAGTGCGTCCCTAGTGGTCACCTCCGGGACATGCACCCTCTACGTAGAGTAGTATTTTGCTCGTACAGATGTAAAGATTTGATTTTGCAACTTTGGTGAAGATCGGAAAAGTTTAGGTCAGAAGCCTTACATAGGTGGCGCTGTAGAGTCATATTAGGTGTGTGTTTTCACACCATTACTCTCAGGCCATTACCAACTGTTAGCGATGTGAGTTTCAGCTCTGTAGGTCTGAGCCTGTGGTCAGGAGAGCATCAAACATGGAGAAATTCCCCACTACCTTGCATGAAAACGATAACAAAATTCTAACTTTTATGCGATGATTACATAACTTCAATCCGTCCAGATATAGAAATGACATGGTAGAAGTCTGTGCGATGAAAATCCAGGGACTAGTACGAAGCCAAAAATGCAACACATTGAACTGCCTGTAGGTGGCGCTGTTGCACTCACAGTTGTGTGTTGCATATCGTTGTGTTCAGGGTCATACGTTGTATTTCTGAATTCATTTTTAGCCTCATCGGACAAACATTTTGCCCTAAAAAGCTCATTTATTCACTTTCCAGCGCCCCCAGTGGTCAGGTGTAGGACTTACAACTTTTGCGTAATGTAATGTTTTGCTCGTCTCGGTCCAGAGAATACACTCAGCGATTTTCGGGCCGATCCGAGCACTAGTGCCCTATTACTTTCCGACAGGTGGCGCTAAAGAGCTCAAATTGGGCGAATGATTTTAGTGTCATTGCGTTCAGGCCATAACCTAATATTACTGATGTGAGTCTCAGCTCTGTAGGTCTGAGCCTGTGGCCCTCAGGGCTCAGCGAAAATGGCCAAAACGAAGGCCTTATTCGCCATGGCGAGGGACGAAAACGGTGAAGATTTTCTAACTTTTTTTCGATGATTATATAACTTCAATCCGTCCAGAGCGGGAAATGACGTGGTAGAACTCTGTGTGATGAAAAACCAGGGACTAGTTCGAATTTATAAATGAAAAGTCAAATTAGTGGCGAAACTTCGGCCCCTCATGGCCGACTTCCTGTCGGTCCCAGACATGTGCTTAGAACGGCTTTTATGCTCGTCTCATAGAGATCTATCACTCATCCGAATTTCGTGTACCTACTCCAATATTTGAAAAAAAATCCCCAGAGGGTCAAAAAAAATGAAATTTCTAGGGGGCGTTATAGAGTCGGCGAGCGTCGGACAATCTGGAAACGTTCATTTTATCAAATTTTTCGCCGGACCGGTCGTTTTAGACCCCCCATGTGCAGACTTTCGTGCATGTCTTCAGGGTCAAAAATCGAATTGAAGATGCGGAAAAAAAAGAATAATATGAAACCGGTGAATAACAATAGGCCTCCCCAATACTTCGTATTGGCTCGGCCTAATGATATATTAATTATATTAAAAATACATTAATACATGATTAAAAATGAGAAAGCAAACTATATCAACATGAGGCATATTTTTGAATTTCAATCAGAACAATTTTTCACTAAGAAACATATAAATTATCTTGGTAGTGTATCTATACCTACAACAGTATACAGCTAAATTAGATGAAAGCATGCAAATGAAAGAACATATTCTAGGTAAATTAAACTTTGTATTATAGCAAATGGTCTAACATTTAAGTCTCGTGTTAGAGAATCATGAAGCTGGGCACTTACCAACTATTTGGTGGCTGTTGTTTCTGATCGCCTCCTTCTGTTCCTGTATACACTTTAATCTTCTGTCAAAGCACAAGAGCATCCAGGAGCGCTCTCTCTCTTTCACTCTCTCCGTCTCTCTCTTTCACTGTCTGTCTCTCTGTCTCTCTCTCTCTCTCTCTCTCTGTCTCTGACTCTCTGTCTGCCTCAATCTGTCTCTCTCCCTCCCTTATGTTGTTATTTATCTATAATCCTTTACATTACATTATTATTATTATTATTTATGGAGTTCCTGGCCCTAATTTATATTATGATTAATAATTATCACTCGTGTTTGTCTCAGATACCCCGCCTCTAAAAAGACACGTGGTCTTCAACCCGGAAGTAGCAGCTGCGTTCCTGCAGCTTGTTGTCCCATCGGTCAAAATGGCTTTGAGTTCTGCTCTCAGGCACAGATGCGGTTTCTTTGGTATGTGGCATGTCAGCATTGATGAAACATTATTGCATTATGTGTTTTATGTTCATAATGTCCTCACAATCCGCACGATCTACATTCTCTAATGTAGGTGAAAGTTCAGGAGGGGTTCGGGCACCGCCAGCTCCAACTTTTTGGTGTTTACTATTTATTAAAACGTTCAATATGTTCAATAATATTCTTGAACTGACTCAAACATGAACTCTGTTGAAATTCTATTTCTATCGAATAACTTTATTTAATAACCTCTGTCAGTATTGATTTGAAGTAATAATTAAATCTATGATAAAAGAGCGGTATTTGGTAAAGATACCCTTGTCTCCTCTGATATCCCACACTTAATACTTAATCTCAATATGCATCTCTCGCAGGCCTCCTCAGCCAGATGTCCTCCAGTGTCAGTCATGGCAGAGTCTCTACAGTACTTCTCTCTCAGATGAGAAATAATTCAACCTCACCCAAGATTAAGGTCGACTTGAACCAAAGCACAGGTTTGTTGTGATTTACTATATTGTGTTATGATAAAACAAAGTATTTGAAGTTGTAAGTTAAGAGCTCATGTATAATATTGTTTTAATGATTGTTTTGTAGGTGTGGCTGTGTTGTCCATGCAAAGTCCTCCAGTCAACAGCCTGAGTTTAGACTTCCTCACAGAGCTCTGCATCAGTCTGGAGAAGCTGGAGATGGACAGGGCTTGTAGAGGCGTAATTATCACCTCTGTACGTATATACAACATTTACTAGGTCTGTGACAATCCGCCTGAATCGGTATACAATATGGCCCGATATGATACGTAATGCGATACCAATTTATTGCAACACAATATATTCCCTTCAGCCCATCCCTCTCCTAAACTGCATGTTTCACTTTGCTTCTTCATCTTTGTGAAGTCGCATCTTAATTCAGAACCTTTCCGTTCGCACAGGGTACGATGTGGTGTTAAGGCTCTCATAATCACACACACTTTCACACATCACCTTTCAGTCTGAGATTAGTGGCAGAAAAGCTCTTACAACAGATGTACGGTGGTACATATTTACCAGTTAGTCACGCCAAGAAAAGCAGTGAGAAAAGTAAATAGATAGCTAAATATATACTTTATTGATCCCAAAGGAAATTGTGCATTAGTCCCTTGCTCACATTTATACAAATATAGGATAGAGTAAAAAGATAAAAAAAATAATCAAAAATGACAAATGCTTTTACTTCAAACTAAGTTCTGATTTGATGCTGTTGTTTTGGGCCAGTGCCCCCCACCACTATTAGACCTGTGAGTATCAGGTCTCCCCCTGATCCAGCTGTACTCTTTTAATGAAATGTATACCGTCAAAAGTATCACAGTGAAACGATAATCTTTATTGTAGCTAACCACAATTCAATATATCATGTGACTATATTTTGTTACAGCCTCCTTAATATATATGTCTTTAAAATTCTCGTCAATTGATTCTTTGGTATGTTTCACTGTAGAGTCAGCCCAAAGTGTTCTCCGCTGGGCTGGACATTCTCGAAATGTACGGCAAGAGCCCAGAGCGCTGTGGGGAGTTCTGGAGGGCTGTGCAGGAGATGTGGCTCAAGATGTATGGCTCAAACATGGTCACTATAGCTGCTATCAGTGTATGTACCAGAAAAATAGCATCATATGGCAGTATCTGTACGTTTATGGACAACCTCCTCCCCCTCCCCTCACAGGGCTCCAGTCCTGCAGGAGGCTGTCTGATGTCCATGACCTGTGACTACAGAATAATGGCGGACAATCCTCGCTACACTATTGGCCTTAACGAGACGCTACTTGGAATTGTAGCCCCATTCTGGTAAGAAATAATAATTCAGAAAATATTAAGAAAAAAAACTCAAATTACTGCTAAGTTTGCAGCATGAAATGCATAATGGGTTGTTCTCAGGTTTAAAGACACAATGGTGAACACAGTGGGCCACCGCACCACAGAACTGGCCTTGGAGCTCGGCCTCCTCTACAGTCCCGAGGAGGCGCTCAAGATCGGACTCGTGGATCAAGTGGTGCCTCAGGAGCAGCTCCTCGCCACAGCCACAGAAACAATGACAAAGTGGTTAGCAATTCCAGGTAAGGTTTAAGTTATCCTGGTAGCCTTGAATCTTTATTTGTGTTTTTTGAAATTAACTTGTGGATGTGTATTTTTTTTCTCCACAGACCATGCCAGACAAATTACCAAGTCCATGATGAGGAAGCCAACTATAGACAAGTTAACATCAAACAGAGAGGCTGACATAAAGAACTTTGTGAGCTTCATTACTAAGGACTCCATCCAGAAGTCCCTACACATGTATCTGGAGATGCTTAAGAAGCGAAAAGCCTGAATTACTTTGCACTCTACTTTCAACTATTGTTAAAACATCTCGTTTTCATGTTTCCAAGGATTTGATGTGAATAAAAGGTGACTATGATCTCTCCTTTTATTTTTTTACACAGTGAATTGGAAAATAAACACAAGTATAATAATAAAAACTAGAATCCCCAGTTTTATTATTTATACATGTTTGTGATGTAGACTGAAACTTTGTCACGTCCATTCAGTCTGAGAGAGAGACCTCCACAGGGAAGTGATCGCTCACAGCCAAAGCCTATTGAAGGAGAGAGGGGTCAAATCAACGTCAATGTCATAACTCCACTTAACATCAGTTGTAAATAAATTAAAGGATACAGTTATGGATGGATTAATGTGTATGTGGTTTAATGAACATGAGTAATCTTAATCTTCTATTGATTGTACTGCAGCTCACACGTGAAATATACTTCCACATGTGTACATATTTACAAAGTGACATCATGCGCTATTGTTTACCAGCTCAAGCTCCAGATTTAGTGCTGCTTGAAAATCAAAGACTTTGGCAGTTCCAGGTTCCACCCCTTCTTTGCTCTCGTCTGTCACCACAATTCTATAAACGAGGAATAGTTTATGAGAACATTTGAGTTTTTATAATAAATAAGAATGTACCGGTCATAGGCGCAGTTTGTGTGAGTGACTGTGGTGTCCATGTCGTTGGTGATCAGCCAGTGAAAGCTCTTGTCTGTAAAGAGTCGGATCTGGTTCCACTCTGAGGCTGTTACATAGTTACAGTCACTGTTGAAGTCCCCCAGCAGGAGGATGTTCTGACAACAAAGGGATATAAGATAAACAAATATATACTGTATCTTGTAAATGGGTTTGTTATTAGTACGTTTGTGCTCCATCGCCTCCTGACATCAGTCACCACATCATAAAGAGCGTCCACTTCCTGGAGAGCGAAATCTGGAGATGTGTGCTGTGGAATAAGAACAAACTGCTGCTGCCCTGAAACACAGATGTTCAGGTATTCACAACGTTATTTGGCTCCAAAGCTAAAACAAAACCCATGACACAGGGTAACGGGCTGTTATTGTGGGCACATTTTGCTTGGTTGGTAAACCTATTTGTGATACTTTCTCCTTCACACATTCAGTACATGTTGGAATTGAGACGCAGTTAAATCACATACGTTATTGTGAATAGAATAGGCCCTGATGATCCCAATATGACAGTAGTGAGTGACAGTGAGATTACCAGTAGTGGAGGAGAACATGACGTTAAAGGGCTCTCTGCTGAAGGTGTCGTTTCCACACGGTTCACATCCATCGTCAAACAGGTAACTGTTTACCACAGAAACCGTCTCCTGCCTTAAACATACACAGAACACACAATTACTCATAACCTGCATTTGTCTGAACCCAAAATTAACACTTTTATTTGTTTTACAAATATTGTATAATTTAGATATTTAATTGACATTCGTATCCTTATGCATGTAGTGCTTTGTACCGGTATGTGTGGACATACACACATATGTGTAGGCTGGTGTATATAGAGCAATATTTTTCTTTTCTATATCATATTAAAATGAATGTACAAACGGTAAAACCATAGCTGACAATCATATGGTTCTGACTGGGGGCAGGCACACTGAAAAGCACCTCGCTTACTTCCTTTGGGCATTTCCTTGTCTTTTTTTCTCTATAACAATGATTGATGCACTGCATTGACTTTTATATTGCTCATATAAATAAAAATGAAATGAAATAGTAATAATATGTAAAAACCTGTAGAGGAAGAGGTATCGCTCTTTATAGGAGCTGCGTCCCAGGGGCTCACTCACAATGTTCTTGTACATGAATTCAGTTTGTCCCCTAGAAATAAAATATGCAGTATGTGACCAGGTCAAATGCACTTCCATGAGTTTCCGATGTGAACTGACTGATTGACATGTGCCATGAGCCTCTTTGTGGCTGACAAATCCTTGTCTCGAACTTCCTGGATCAGGATGATGTCATAACGCTTGACAATCTGCAGCACAGGTTGATGTTTGAAAAGGCCCAAAAAATACAAAAATAAATGTTTAAAAATCAGACCAACAAAAATACGTAAATAATTTTTAACTATTACAATATGGTATTTTTAAAGCAATATTAACACTGTTGAAAACAACTGGGTGGCCAGTTTCTTTGGTGAAACCTGACTTAAACCCACATAAAGTAAGCCCCAGCACCTGCGGACACCTCAGATGGTCCCAATGACACTTCAGAATCTCTATTCGGGAACTCCTGGCCCCACAGAGGAGCCTATTGTACATGTTCATCGTGGTAGAAGAATCATACAAAGACATGTGCGATCTCCACTCACAAAGGGCCTGTCTCACCAGGATTCGAACCCCGGACGTTCTTGCTGAGAGACATGAGCAATAAACTCCATCATGAATTACATGATAGCAATTACAAAAGAACATTGCACAAAAGGGACAATACAGGATTGTATTCAAGAGTCCAATTTTACTGACCTGCGTTGTAATCATTCATCGTAAGTGTTGTCTGACCTCACTGATGATGTTCATGAGGGTGGTGTTGGACGCCTTCTTGTCTCCGAAGGACTTGATGTTGAAAGCTCCCAGCAGCAGACCATTCCCCACATGCAGCACTGCCACAAAGCACCACAGAGCACACAGTCCACGCATCCTGGAACCAGAAAACAATACTATAATGCAGTGTAACAAACGGTGTCTACAGTGCTGCTGCTGTGAGGGAGTGTGGGAGAGTCCCACCTGGCAACATTCACTGGGGTTTGTTGGGGACTTGTTATCGCTGTAAGATTAGTTGAGGTCAGCTTGTTTTTAATAGACATGACTTTGAACACATGTTAGTCAAGAACACTGGGTAAAAATTAATATCCAGTCAGGTCCATACATATCTTTACCACAGTAATGGATGAATATAGCAACAATATGTTCTTTCACAGATTATATTGAATTAAAAATGTTCCTAAAAGGGTCTCCCACTTTCTGGTGGTTCATCTGTTCCATGGGCAGATTGTGAGTTATTCCATACTTGATTCATGTCCACGTAGCAGATGCAACATGTTATGGTCATGTCAACATATTATAACACATCATGATAGTATGTTTTTGAGTGTCACCAACTGCTATACTGAGATCTACAAAGAGTGAAGCAAATAATCTAAAAAAATCTACCTGAAACAAAGATGATAATCAGAATCAGAATCCTTTTACAAATAACTGGAAGTCACAAACTAGGAAATTGCTTTTGCTCTCAGTGCAAACAAGTTAAATCAGCATGAAGCAGAACAATAATGTAATGTGTGTTAAAAGAAACTAGTGAACTTATGTTAGGTAATAGCTAGTAGTCACGCCAGTAACACAATAGTTCCAGTACAGGTTGAATAGAAGTGTTATTTATTTGAGTAATTTAATGTGTTATTTTATCCGACTTACTTCACTGAAATATTTTTGTTTGTTTGCGGAATACACCTTTGTGTTTTGTCTTTTCAACCTGTAGCACTTGGGGATTTGGTGTCAAATGAAATCAAATGAATTATCATTAACCACCATTTCATTTATACAACTGTTTCCTCAAAGCTTAAATTGCTACAGTGTAAAATAAATAATTGAAAAAGAGGCAAAAATTACAGCACATATTTCATATCTGTCAACGTAATGACTTTCAGAAACAGAATGCTATCACCACAATACACCTCCCTACTGTATTATCTTCCAACTACTGAGAACCACAGTGTTTTACTTGCCTGTTGCAGAATCTTCCAGGGGCCGTTGTCAGCGTCTGAACTAAAACACGGGTCCCTGGTGTGGTTTTTATTTACCTGTGATGTCATGTGATCCTCTCTCTGCAGAGGGAGGGCTGCACATACAGCTCTAAGCTCTACATTGCAGAACTCTGCTTCTACAAATACACTCAAACAATTAAACAAAATCATTCAAGACAAAACACACACACACAGTGTCCACTTTGTGTGTGTCCAAAAATGGATTAAGGGGAAGAAAATGGATGGATGGAATTAAATTGTCATAGAAAGACGACAGATTGTACAGATTAACCAACACAAATGAAAAAGTATCGACATACGGAGTTCCGCAAGGGTTAAAACTGGGGCCAACATTATTAATAACATACAATAATGAAATAAGAAAAATATCAAAATGAAGGAATTTCATACACTTTGCAGATTACGCAAATATGTGACCAGATTTATAATTTCATTTTGCATAAGTTTTACTTAAAAAATATTGCGACTGTTATTTTTTGTGGTTTGAACCTTTTATTCTAAAAAATACAATATAGATACAGTATAGAAGTATAAGACCGCTGTGACTATATGAAACTAAAAAATACCACCAAATTGTCAATGATGAATTTATAACTATGAATAACAACAACTGACCACTAACGGCTGCCATTGCCTCTTCTTGTTGAATGGCATTATAAACGGAAAATATAATATGACACACAAACATGGTTATTTGAACGCTCTGCCATAGGACAATGTGGGCAAGGGCTTAGGTTGCAGCACATGAATTGGGCTCTATCCCGTTGAGTTGATTCTCAGCTGTAGCCATCTGACAAATGTCTTTTGCTACTTCCCCCTTTGGCTGTTTGGTCTTTGATTTGTCACACTGAGGGCTGCCATTTTGTCCTTTATCTTTTCCATTTTCTTTACGACATTGTGCTTCCATAGATTGTCGAATATTTTTCAGCAAAGACGATGTTGTTTTTAAAGATTGCAGGTCTTCAAATAAATATGAGACTTCTGTTAGTTTTTTCAGCTCTCTTCTGAGAGTTTGTTGTGCTAGTTTAATTTTCTTTTTGTCTGGTACAACCACAATTTCCTCCATGGTACAGCTATTGTTCGCCTTGCACAGAGCACCTTCAGCACTGGACTCCACCTCCACCATGCTCTGCACTCCGCCGCTGTAGCCGCTGATCATCACGTTGGGGTAGAGGTCATGGTTCTGGTGAGCTTCCACCAGTGGGAGCTTAACGTGTAGAAAAGTTGATGTTGGTAGATCAGATTGGGACAATGCAAGCTTGAGTCTCCTCATAGCATCTTCTTTTCGCATTCGAGAAGCATTCCCCTTCACACTAAATGTGTCGTACCTTAAACAATGCAAAAAAGGATTTGTTTATGCCTCACAATCTGTTTGTACAAACATTGCATAAAATACACTAAAATCTCACCGTGTGATGTGCCGTATAAATACTTTTGCAGGGCAGTTCATTTTTTTTGAGTTGATACGGCGAGGCTTTCTTTTTACATTTTCTTGAGCTCCATCCGGACACTGCTACATTCAAGGAAAATATCAAAGATTAGCAAAAGTATTCTTGTCTTAATTAGGTCAACCAATCATTTGGAAAGATGGGTTTGCTGGGTTTGTGATTAGAGGACTTGCCAAATCATATAACTTTTCACTGATTACCCCCAGATTATTTGGTGTGTTGATATCACAAAGAGACACAATAATTATCCAAGGACTTCAGAGTATTCAAAGATCAACTTAACCTCAACAAGGTTCACCTACCTTTGGTTTTTTAACATAAGCCTTTCCGTGGCGACACACCAGGATGATTCTTCTTCGCACACACAGGGGTACATCCTCTGAGTAGTCGTCCAGATGCCAAAACTGCCGTAGATTGGAAGTTTTACTCACATGGTCAGACCTTATGGATCATACAAAACATACATATTGAGAGACAATTTTCCTGAAGGTGAAACATTGCCTACATGAAATAGAAAATCAAAACCGTATTGCAAAACATTCTTAATAGTAATTAAGTAATAGTTTAATGCCATTAAAGAGAGATACCAAAAAGGCCCACCAACACTTTTTTTCAACATGCCCTTTGGTTGTCTTTGTGCTTATGTGTTACATTGAGGCTTGTGACCCAAGGACTTACCATTTGAGGTATGAGGTGTAAGTGGCCTTGCTGTGGGTCTCCAGCAACAACGCCAGCTCAGTTTCATTGCTGATAATCCCAGAGATGTAACCATCGCCTCTGCTGAGAACATTGAAGCAGGGTGGGAGCCAAAACAAATCTAGCAAAAAATGGATAGTGGTCATTTTTTATGTCTGGAGAATCGGTCTCTATTTCTATGGAATATGATTATCTTTCCATTTTAAAAGAAACATGAGAATATATTATACCATTACTACAGCAGCACAACACAGAACCACAGCACAGAGTTGACTCGAGTGTGAATTGTTCTGCCACGCAGCAATTGTATTCATTTAAGGTGTTAAAGGTTTAAGTAAAGTAAGTAAAGTTAAAGCAATTTGCCTCTATGATTGCTGAAGTATTTTAACCTAAATTCAGATAACATTTAAACAACTCACCGTCCATTCTCTACTCCTTTCTTCTTCGCTGGCGGTAGAGGTTGTATAAAAAATAGTCTTTGTTCGCCACTGCCATCTAGTGTTCTGGGTGAGCTATGGGACTGCACACGTTATTTTATTTTTATTTTTATTTTTTTTACAGTGCCACAGACTGTATCTATATCATAGACAGTACATATCTATATACAGTGTTTCAGCACTCATAAACATGCTAAACGACTGTACACATTAGATAATAAAAACCGGTAATTTAATATAAAGAGTATAAACATAGCCACATTTAAGAAAAAATTAGTAGTAACAGTACTAAAAGTATAGTTTATCCCGTAGGAGCAGACTTTGGTGGCTTCGACTGTTATCCATTGACAGCATAATTCAATGGACACTGGGCATAATCAATAATAAATATAGTGGCTAGATACTATATTCTTGGCTCACTTCAGTGCATGTATGTTTTATATTGTGAGTATACTGTATGTAATGCATGGGTTCGACGAATACAGTCATATAGTTCGACAGTGTACTGATGTGATGCTTTCCTTTCATCACAGACGACTTGTAACTGTATACTTGTGCTGTAAAGTTAATGTCTTTACTTTTTATGAAGCAACAAAACTAACCTATTTTACATTACTTTGAAATGATTATTCATACATAGTAATTTTTTTAAGTACACCACATAATTCATATTTTTAATTTTAGACTCTTTTTGATAATATCTTAAACTGATGGGCATAGTTGTCACTTGTTGTTCCCCCACGTGTCCAGCAGGAGCGCGCGCTGTGTATGGGCGGAGCTTTCAAGTGGTGTCGTAATCCAAACCGGAAGTAAACATCCAGCTGTTAGCCGAGCAGACACCGCTCCGAACAGTCTTCAAACAGCAATGAATCAATAGTGGCACCTGGGAGTAAATAGTTATTCATGATGTCGTGTTCGGAGCAGTGACTGTGGTGACCATAAGGATTAGACCAGTTTCAGACTTTGCTGTGATCGCAGTGCTGAAACAAGGTAGGTTTACTCTGACGTGTATTGCTAGCCACGTTAGCTTCTGTTAGCTTTCCAGCTAATCAATATATTTGTATGTTTATGGGATTAGCGTCTACTCTGTACCAATAAGAATCCAAAATGTATTTATTATTGCAACTGCGAAATGAACTGACAATAATGATGAGTATATTTTTATCAATACAATTTTGTGTAAAAATGAATGCAGTAAGACATTGATTTAAGACATGACTTTAAAGTAGGAATTTATAAATATATAGATTATATATAGTTTTATATATATATATATATATATATATATATATATATATATATATATATAATTTATATATATATATAATCTATATATACATATATATATATATATATACATTACTTACGTGCCAATAAAAATTATTCTGATATAGATAGATAGATAACACGTATTATTATAATATTATTGGTGGTTACGTACTTGAACAATCAGAATCAGTCATTTCCGATGAGAAAATTGTCAGCGTGTATAGGACCACAAATAACCTTCTAAAGGTAAAAACCTTTATTTGTCTTATTCAGATCAGATTCAGATTTTCTGAATCTGAAGATAAAGGTAAAAACCTTTATCTGTCTTATCGTGTTGCAGCGAGTATATGATTAGAAAACAAACCGATGGGAGCGACAGTAGCTCAGTTGGTAGAGCCCACCATGAGACCTTCTCCACCATCTCCCACTGATTACTGCTGTCGTTGTGTCCTTGGGCAAGACACTTAACCCCACTTTGCCTGAAGCCCTCACTGAAAGATTATACATAGCACGGCCATCCTCCTGTGGACTCACCAGTGAGGGGCCGGTGCTATGTGTACTGGGTCCATGGATCTATAATAATAACTGGATAGGGTATTACTAGCTTATAGCTGTCCCACCCATAGGCACAGGGGGCGCACGTGGTACTGCAGACTAGAGCCCTGCACTTGAACCCTTGGCCCGAGGCCCCGACAGCCCGATGACAGTATAATGACCTCGGACACGGGCCGGGCTCGGGCTCGCGCACTTTCAGAGCGGCAGATTACATTTACGAACGCACCCGCTGAATATAGCGTTCTATCACGCTGTAGTGTTTGTTGTTCTGTGTAGTGTTGTCATTGACGACACTACACAGTACATAGCGTTACTTACAAGTGTGTTGCTGCATCTGTGTATCATACAGCTGTGTATCATACAGCTGCGGCCGTTCACTCCGCACACACAGAACTCATTGCAAGACATCACTACCATGTGTAACTCCGCCCTCTAGCCAAGTCTGCGTTCATATCAGTGCTATATACTACGCTAAAACATTGTTATGGGAGGTAAAAAAAAAGGCGGGCTTGGGCCTAAAAATTCAGAAACCATATCGGGCCGGGCCGGGGCGCCAACCTCCTCAGGCCAGGGCCGGGCTCTGGCCCAGATAATAGGCCCGTGCAGGGCTCTACTGCAGACTAAATTCACGAGGGCTACCCAGAAAAAATTCCCATAGATCTCAATGTAAATTAAAACAGCTCGACCTCAGCTGACAGAGAACCTACAGCTTTTTTTTTTCTTCTTAAATCCTTCGGTTTTCTTTAAATCCACACTTTACTGCCACAAACTCTGCTCCTTTCCTTCCCGCTCTAGCGCCGCTCTTCCGCTGCTCTGATTGGTCAAAGCACGGCCGAGCCCCTCTGTGCACGTGCATGAGAGCCCATGTGGAACCCACACACGCGTATGTGGCGCGACGCATCATGGGAGATAATCCACTTGAATAGGGCGCCATCTTGGATCACCGGGGCTTGGGCTGGGTCAGCACTAGATCATATACGGAATTGGGACGGAAGCGGAAGTAAATATAACAAACTACCTATTCATGCCTAAACTTAACCAGCCATTCCCATAAAATAACCCCAACCCACCATTAACCCTAACCTTAACCATCTTAATTAGACGCCTAAAACTTAACCAGTCACCACTTAAGGACTTTTAGTCTAAAACGAATTCGAAAGTAGGATTGTTACTTCCGGTTTCGTCCCGATTCCGTATATGATCTAGTGCCGACCGCTTGTGGACTGGGCGGCATCTCGGGCCACCCCCCCCGACCCAGAAATGGATTAAGGGGTAGAAAATGGATGGATGGGTGGAAAACAAACCTAAATCTGTACATGCAAAAACCTAGCTTAACTACATGTGCAATACAATAGTATAGCAGAATATATATATATTATCTTGTCGTGTTTTGAGGTTATCAATTGAAAAGATTTGATCGAATATTACCCACTATTGGCTTTACTTCTGTATCCTACATTTTTATTTTTTACCAATTCATAAAAAAACTTGAAAACATTTGCAGTATATGCTTCATGTTTACAGGTGTGAATGAGTGACGTGGTGTCCCCCGCAGCTCTCAGTGAAGTCCAACTCCGCTTCCTCTGCCAAGATGACATAGACAGCGTCAAGTTGCTCTGTGGTGATTGGTTTCCAATCGAGTAAGCCTCAAATAATCAGATTGATGAATACAGATTGCAGCATAGTGTAATGTGCGCAACGATGACACTGAAATTTCTCCTGTAAGACGAATAAAGGTTTATCTTATCTTATCTTAAACGACTGTTAGTCATATAGAGTTATATGTGGAGGCATAAAATAATTATTGACCCATTTTCTTTATTTTTATCTGTGCCTGGATCATGAAGCTGTCAGAGTAGGACTGCCCAGACTTCTCTCTCCATTTACACTTCCTCTGATGTGGAGGTTTAATTTGATGTACACCCATACATGCATGTAGTTCTTCCAGCTTGCCCTGGGTCTTTCCTGGAGTCTTCTCTGGCAGCTCAGCTGGTTGGACTTGAAGGAGCAGAGGCTCTACTCCAAACTCCATTTACATAAGGAATAATTTGATTCATATTGAATGATTTGATAATGCTAATGATTTGGTCGGACATTAATATAAGAAGTAGTAGAAATAGTAAACACAGTGATTAAAATTAATTGACCTTATTATTTTTTTTATTTTAGGTACCCAGACTCATGGTATCAGGATATCACATCCAACAAAAAGTTCTTCTCCCTGGCAGCCACCTTCAGAGGAGGCATTGTGGGAATGATTGTGGCTGAGATCAAAGGCCGGACAAAAGTACACAAAGAGGTACAACGCGTTTACATCAAAGTACACATATGTAGATTCAACATTGTCATGTTTTTCACTGTGAGATCTTGGTTGGTTTGCACATAATGTGAACATTTCATATCTAGGACATGCATTTCACATGCTCCATTTTTTTTGTCTGCTAATTAAGTATTTCCAGTGGCCTCGATTGACTTGAGAATGGGCTGGGTCAGCAAAACCAGTAACATTTGTGACAGTATTTTAGTGAACATGGTTTCTCATAAGCCAGTAATATTTGTATTTTGTAAGATGCATGTGTTTCTGACTTTTACCTCTGTGGCAGATGAATTATACAAATTTACATTTTAGTATTTGCCTTGGAAAGTATTTGCTTAGACATCTCACTTTACAATTCAGTTCAACTCTGGCACTTCCTTTATATCATTGTAAAAACACAGGACCAGAAATATCTTAAATTATAAATGGATCAAAAATGAAATCCACTTATATTTGTACTTCAACAGATACAACAATTGATGTATTTTTCAATTCATCGAATGTAATGTTATTTAGAAAATCTTCCCTACATTTTCATTTTAGGATGGAGACATCCTGGCCTCCAGTTTTCCTGTGGACACACAGGTAGCATATATTCTGAGTCTGGGAGTGGTCAAAGAATTTAGAAAACACGGCATAGGTAAGATTGAATAATTAGATTTTTATTTGAGTCCCCCGGAAAATGAAGGACTCAAATAAATTAACAAAATAAATGTGTTGTTTTTCCCTGAAGGCTCCTTGCTGCTGGACAGTTTGAAGGAGCACATCTCAACCACAGCACAGGACCACTGTAAAGCCATCTATCTGCACGTCCTCACCACCAACAACACTGCCATCTACTTCTATGAGAACAGGGACTTCAGGCAGCACCACTACCTGCCCTATTACTACTCCATTCGAGGGGTCCTCAAAGACGGATTCACTTATGTTCTGTATATAAACGGAGGACACCCGCCATGGACAATCTTATATCCTTGGCTTAAAGCATGTTCTATTAGGTTGTTTGTAAACAAATATATGACTTGGTACACAAACCACTAGTCTAAATAATTCTGAAACAACCAGTATTGTTGACCAGGTTCTTGTGAGCTCTTCCTTAACCTTTTTCCACCGATTATATCCAGCACATCGGAGCCACTCTGGCCAGCCTCAGCCCTTGCTCCCTCCCACAGAGGCTGTATCGACAGGCCCAGTCCCTGCTGCGCTCGCTGCTGCCCTGGTCCAACCTGGCCTCCAAAACAGGCATACAGTACAGCCGAACAATGTGACCCAGTGGTAAGCCTGTTTACAGTCATCACAGTTAGACCTTGTGTCCTAAATGACATGAACACACATGAACACACGGAAATGTAGCCATTATTAACAACATTATCACGTGTGTGTGGATTCAAAAAAAGTATTGTATACACACAATTAAAAGATTAATTGTATAGAATAGGATATAAACTTAAACACGCTTAAAAGTCTGTACTGTTAATTTTCATATTATAGATTGGGGCGTGGAGTAACAAAACAAGTTGAGTTCAGATTTAGATACTAAATTTTGATGTTGTTAATGTGTTTTCAAGAAGATTTCAAATAAGGCCGCACATCCCAGTAGCCTGGACTAGCATGCTGGATTCAAAAATAGGTCAAAACGTGTAAAACAGAAAAATCCGCACTACTATGTTGCTCCCAATCGTCTTTAATTTACAGACCGAGGCCTTTCTCCACAAGGATGTGTTTTTGCTTGTGTCAAGTCCAATTTTGATTCCTCTTTCCTCCCAGGACACGTGTGTTTTCTGATCGAAGTCTTCCCCAGTGGCCTGTGCACACACATGCACACATCAGTCCTTCACAGGGTTCGTCCTGTGCCTCATTGCGTCTTTACCCCAGAGCCATCCCTCAAATCTGTCAGATTTACTGCTTCAGCTCTGTGCCAGCTTTGAATAGAGTTTGTGAAAGAAAAAGGTTGATTTAGAACAGATTTTAAAAATCATCATAAAAAAAAAAATCATTATATATATATATTGGGGCTGTCAAAATTATCGCGTTAATGCACTTGCAAAAAACATGTCATTATTCATTCACTCCATACACGGTGGTGATAAACTACTACTGTAGCCACAGCTGCCCTGGGGCACACTGACAGAAGCGAGGCAACAAGTATGTGCCATCGACCCCTCCGACCACCACCAACCATTCACACACACACCAGACTCATTCTAGGCAATGGGGGTTAAGTATCTTGCCTATGGACACAGCAGTTTGGCACTTTACAGCCGCAGCCGCCGCACTGTGGCTGGTGTTCCCAGAGGTTAAGTGTCTTGACAAGGACACAACGACAGCAGACAGTGGGAGTTGATGGTGAAAGTCTCGTGGTGGGATTTAACCCACGACCTTCTGGCTCAAAGGCCAGTGCTCTACCAACTGAGCTACTGTCGCCCAAAATTAACGCATTAAGCATGTGCCGAACGACCCGCCTATATGCATCCCATAATAACACTCAGAAGTGACGCTCACAGGCTTCTCATTTTAGGTAACCCACTCTCTCCTACGCTCTCCTCCCACGGAGCCATGTAGTTTTAGGCAAACATTAGCATCAGCACAACTTCTTATAAGCTGTTCAGCAATCACTGATGAAATGGTACCAAAGCAACGCACTGCTAACTGAATGATTTTAATACAACAAAAAAATACTGTCTACTACAGAAAGACAGAATGTGAATAATGTTAATGCCATTTTATGTGGATTTTTAGTTATAATAAACAAATACAGTACATATGTACACTATGTTGTCATTTATCTTTCCATTTAAACAACCATTTACAGAAAAATATGGCATAATTTTTCCAATAGTTTGAAATGCGATGAATTATGATTCATTAATTCTTAAGCTGGAATTAACTCGTAACTTGTTTGACAGCCCTAATATATATATCTCTAATTTTCTAAAGATTTAGAAGAACTAAACTTGCACTTGCAATACTAATCTGTGGTATGTCTCTGTAGAGAGCCTTCTTGGTCACATATTAAGAATAATCAGTTATCTTTCTTTTATAATTTAAAGTGTATTAAGATAAAAATGCTACATTGTAATTGCCAAGAAAAAAAACATGTTTTTGTCACTGCATTTTGAAGTTATTTATGGCATTTTGTTGCACGCATTAAGACTGTCAGTAATAGAACAATTCTTTACCAAGCAATACTCTTCAGACTTGTGAACAAAGAGCTTTGAACGCTGACCTACTTGCTTCAGAGTCAGCCGTGGCACAGAGCGGTATGTAAACCTGCTTCCACTGACCCGGTACTTTACTGTAATCACAAATACACCTGGTTGTGTGACTTTGAACGCAGTCGGTGTCGAGAGGAGTGTTGAATGTCCTCTCAGCCGCTTTCCCACAGACGACATGTATACTGTTTGTAACTTTGTATATTATATTATATTATATTATATTATATTATACTACTATACTATGCTAATATATGAACTTTATGTCATCTTGCTCCATGCTGTTATTACTCATACATTCAATTCAATTTCACTATGGGAACTTTTTTATTTTTTCAAAATTCTCCATTTGTTAATCGTAGAAATCAGGATTAGCAAAACTTTAATATTTATGTATTGGTTTACAACTGTCAATTTGAAATGTGTTTCTCAGTCAGATGTACAGATACTAAAGTAGTTATCCGCATCTTTGACATGCAAAGAATTCTCACTCAACCGTATCTCACCTGCAGCTCGTCCATTACCTTATGAATGTAAATTTGCTGCTATCGAGGACAAATCACTCTTGGTTTGTTGAGTTTTATAAAATATAAAATGTGTTCAAAATCGGTTCCTTTTCACACGATGGTAAATGAACAGAGGTTTGCACCTTTGGAACTACACAAATATAAACATAGTTCTGCACTTGATAATGTTTTAATTACAGTGTTAAACACAGAATATATTATTGTTCAAAGTCTTCACTTCAAAAGGCATCGTATCCAATAAATGGTTTTGAATATTTATTCTAGGCTGTCCGATTGTATTTATTTTTATTTTATTTATTTGGTTGGGACAGTACATTTTAATGAACACATTTCTCCGGATTGTAGCCATGGGCTAATTTGCATCCGTTGTCCCACATTCGCACTCACAAACACACACTATGTAACTATTGTTCGTCCATAAAACTGCTACACCCTTTTTCTACACAATATTATGCATATAATATGCCCGTTTTCATTATCTACAGTAATAATGCACTGGGTAATATAGTACTTTTTTAGACACTCAACAGGTCTTCATATAGCATTCTGTAGCTGTATCTTTCACTCTATACATGGTGGTAGCCACAGCTGCCCTGTGGCAGACTGACAGGGGAAGGCAACCAGTATGTGCAATGGCCTCTGACCACCACCAATCATTCACTCTGCACACTCTTTACCCCAGAGCCATCCCTCGCTGCTTCAGCTCTGTGCCAGTCCTGAATGGAGTTTGTGAAAGAAAAAGGTTGACTTAGAACTTTGGTGGTCAGTCTTTTCAGCAGAACTCAGATGACTGACCACCGCCAACCGTTCACTCACCAGACATGCTTTAGTTATTATCTTTCTGCCCACGTGGAGTGTAAAATATGAATTGTGCATTTTTATAATCCAAGCACGGTTAGACCCTGGACAGTAACAGACACATCCAACATCGTCCTACAAAACTATAGGACTTTTTTTTAAAAATATATAATAATAAAAAAATTGCATTGTTTTGTTATTCAAAGCAAAACGATATTTGTTTGTTAATATTAGTTATCACATAGCTAGTTAGCCACAGTCTTCTCTTCAAACAGCTTCAAACTCTAATGGGGAAATCGAGCGGTCACAGTACCATTGAATTAAATAAATGAAAATCCTAGATTGACTGGTGAGCTTTCTCCCCATTTTTATTTTGACAATTCTCCAGCAATTCTTGTTGGTGCTGATTATACCAATGTCAGGGATAATTTTAAATGTTCTTACAACAAAATTACTATAACAAAAACACTACTCTGGCTCTGCTTTGGCCTAAACCAATCAGTGCTGATCTGTTGCCCTTGTTAACACCATTACACAAACCAAAGCCCTGACAGTGTGCGCGCATAGACTGTAAATATTGAGCGTGTGTGATAATAGATCCATGGTGAGAACGTGTTTTACGCATGGATCTACTATAATGGCTTTACGGTAATGAGCGTTTCTGCGCGCGCCGCTAATACGCACTGTACGGTACTGACGTCACAGTTTGGAGCCAACATTACCGCCCATTCACAAACTGCGGGAGGAAAGTCTGCCTCTTCTCTGGATCCACGATTTATCTGTGACTGGAAAAGCGCAAACGCCTATCAACTAACAACGCTGTCTGCACGCCGCACAAAAAGTACTTTTTTCCTCTTTCTTTCCGGACATTATCCCAGAAACGTCACTGCTCGACCTCAAGTTGACGAATAAAGGTGAGTCGCTGCAAACAAATGAACAGAAAAAAGGGTAAAAAATATTGTATCCAGAAACATTTGACACATTGTTTTCTTCTTGTTTGGGAGACTATACTATATATTTTGCAGTGCACAAACTTACTCTGATTTCATTGGCTCTAGATACATAAAAGTGACTATACCTTACGGGGGATGTGTGCCCTTTAACCATATGCTGTTTCACGCACAGGGAATCCCCATGCTGTTCGACCTGTTTTGTAGACATTAGTGATTATGTTGTTGTTGTTATTGTAGTGGATACAGCATGACTTTGAGGTCTGTTGCAGGCAGTATGCGTTACTCAAGTATTGGATGATGTCTCTCTCCAACAGATGGTATAAACATCAATAACATTAAAAAAACGCACTGAGTCAGAGCTGTGCCATACAAGACTGGTCATTTTACATTCTGTGTGTTTTCACTTGTGGAAATGGGATGTTTTGACAAGATACAGCAGTATAGTTCAGTGAGGGATTATGGAAGTGATGGTACTAGTAGTTGGTTGTTTAAAGCTGAGGTACCAAACTTTTATATCAGAAAAATGCAGCTGATCAAATCCATCTAAGTATTTCTTAGAGCTGGGTATCTTTCAGAACCTGTCATTGCACATGGCACTACACAAGACGTATCTACTGTTCAATTTGATATCATTCAGTAAAAAAATAAAGGTTTTTGAACCCTTTACAATCTGCAACATTTGGGGGGAAAAATACAATAATATGGATGCAATTTATATTTAATTTATTGACCCATAATTGTTATCAAAGTTAAACAAATCTTATTGTGAAAAATAAATACATTTTAGCACACCCTTACTGACTTACTTCCTTACCGTCTTTCAAAACAGTTTTATTAGCTTTCTCATATATGTACTTTTACCTCACAATTTTACTATCACATCTCTGGATCAGCTTTTAAAGACAGAAAAGTGAAATGCCATTCAGCCTATCAAACTGTTAGCCCAAAATGGTGACTCACTGCCCTCTTTCTCACAAGCATAACGTATTTTCACTGTAAAAAGACCACATGTTTGATCTGTTCACAAACGCTTTACTTTTGGACCAAACAACACTGTTATAGTAGGAAAAAAAAACAGTTTTCTTGTTGTAAACATGTGGGCCGCTCTCTGCACAGGTTTTGACTTGTTGGTGATGTGTCTGGTGGTCAGAGCTGGGAGGCAAACTGCCAACCGTATTATTATGGCCCCTGAAGCTACTGATGCAATTCAAAAGGGCCAATCTCTGGGTTTAGAACTATGCCCATAGGTCAAAAGGAAATAGGGGGATGGGGGAAAATCGGCATTCTCCACACAG